AACCACCTGCTAGGTGATCAAGGACGTGCTGGCGGAAGTCACATTTACCAGCCTCAGAAATTGCCCCAAAATCCAATTCGTGTTCTCGCACACAATCACTGACGTGTTTATGTTTAGCCAAGTCTGAGAGACCTCTGTTATTCCAAAACATGCCTCTCATGTGGAAACTCGGATTGGAGTGGAACATTTCGCCTTGTTGGGCGTTTTTTTCTTTTTAGAGGAATGTGATTTAGATTTCCGTGAAGACGCTGTGAAGTCACAAAACATGGACCCAGGTCTTGCGTCATCTAATCCAACCTCAGTAACCTCACCAACCAAGTGGGAGATGAGTGGACCATCATATTTGGCATCCATTTCATCCTCCTCCTTGGTTTCGGGGTTAGGTAGGGTGTTATTACACTCCAGAGAAACCTTTAAACGGTCAATCTCCATGTGTTTAAGTGCCCCAACCGACATGTTAATTTCATCATCATTCTTTCCCATAGATACACCCACATTCTTTAAGCTAGTAGAAATACGAGTATCTGAAAAGGAAAGAAAAGATTGCATGGAAGAAGTACCTGGTGTGGGGTCCAAATTCCTCAAGGCTTGGCGGCACATTGCTTTCGCTAGCGAATGCTCATCAGTCGTAGAGGAGCCATCGGCGGAAATGGAATGTCGGTTACTACGTCGAAGGGGCGAAGCCAGCCCTCCGGACATAGTACCCGTTGATGCCTTCGGTTCAGCCGCAAGTGGAGAATTCTGCACTCTTGAAGGAGTCTGAACTGTCACAATTGGTGCCGAGGTAGAAGTAGTCGCACAGACCACCGTCGGACCAAGAGGAACCACGGCGGCCGAAGCTTGAGTTGGAGAAGCCGCCGCAGGCACCGTCGAGGATCCACACATGCGAACCGAAGCAGTAGTTGCCGCCTGCTCAGCTGGCGGTGCAACCGCGCGCTCGACCGGCTGCACCAGCAGAGAGGCTGCATCAGCATCAAGCGGTGCACATGCACTATCATCCTTGCGCACACGTAGCATGCACACATGAGCACCCGCCCCATGCACATCACGCATGGGTGCACATGCATACATGCAAGCCTCCGCAGCATCCCCATGCACGTCCATGGATGGATGTTTTGCACTCCCTCCAAACGACGCCTCCACAGCCGCTCGCATGGGCGATGTAGCCGCCGCCTGCACATGCAGCAGAGTAGTTCCCTGTACTGAAGGATCAACGTCCGATCGCAGCACTTCACAAACATGGGTCGTCGTGGGTTGCACTCGAGCTGATACTGGCACATCAAGAGCAAAGTTTTCCAGTTTATTGGTTTGGTGTGGAAGTGTAACAAAGTAATAGCCCAACTGAGAAGTCTGCATGGGAACGGTGGTTGTTTGAGGCCCCGACACCATACTTCCACCATCATATTGGGCGCCTTTTGGTCTCTTGCTTGCTTCCCTATCTGGCATATCCTCGTCCCGGTTAGTACCATCGTCATGCCCCGTCATCCTGATGCTCCCAAATCTGCGGAATGAATTCAGCATCGGGGATGAAATCATCCTCCTCCAGTACAAATCGAAATGCATATCCGTTGAGCTTGACATAAACATAGCTTCAGACATGAACACAAAGTTTAACACTTACGGTTAACGAAACTACGAGCCAATCATCAGAATGGAACCATAACGTCGATGTGCATCATTTTCATGTATAATTTATCTCGAATCAAAGCATCATTGTGCAGATTAGAAGGGACTAGGTGAAGAAAATTAAGGAATGTGAGTAAGATCAAACCACATGCAAAGCTAGGTAACATCTGCACGGTGTGGTAGGGAAGTTAAGTAAAAAAAATCGTGTAAAAGCTCTAAACATGAACACAAAATTGGACATTTACAATCAACAATACTATGAACCAATCATCTAAATGAAATCACAACATCAGTGTGCATCTTTTCGTGTACAACTTATGTTGAATCAAAACACTATTACGTAGATTAGTTGAATGCCCGTGCGTTGTCACGGAAATACGAAATATGATGTAAAAAGATAACTCGATATGAATTAACAATATCCATATCTATCAGCGACACATTCTGCAAAGTGAAATACATATACAACTATATGAATTAAATATAGTAGTACCGTTTTTTCCGAGGAATAGTATCATAATTCTTATGCAACATGGAAAATAAAAGGCTAAAAGGACAGACATCTAAGAAATTTGATAGCCCTCACATACCGTCTAAATACCTTGGTTCTACTCCCTCCGTTCCTAAATACCTCTGTTCGAACATGGACTACATACCGAGCAAAATGAGTGATTCTATAATCTAAAATATGTCTTTATACATCCTTATGTAGTCCTTTATTGAAATTTCTAAAAAGATTTATACTTCGTATTACAGCTGTGACTGTTCTCACTCTCTCCTCACCGCTCTCACTTTCTCCTCACCGCTTAGCCCTTTTCCCTTCACGCTACTGATACTTTTCACTTTCTAGAAATACCCTCCCACCACCGCTCCCACACACTCGAGCTCACTCTCTCGTCCCCCTCTCACCCACCCCTTCTCGCTCCCCTCCAGATCCCCATCGTGCCGGCCTCTCCTCGCCGCCGTCACCGGCCTCTCCTCGCCGCCTTCACCGGCCTCTCCTCGACTCCCTTACTCTCCACCACCACGCACCCCATTTCCTCCCACCGCGCACCCCGTACCGTAGGTCAAAAGCTTGATTTTTTAGGCGCCGGCGACGAGCTTCTGGGCGGCGGAGGCTGGATCTGCGTGCGTCCACGCCGGCTTGGCAGTGGCGCTTGATGTGGAGCGGCGCTGGAGCAGCGGAGTGGGGCTTTCTTCCTCACCTCACAGCTCCGTCCTCCTCCACGACCACGCAGCCGCGGCGGCGGAGGAGCCGAATTCCTAGCCAGCGAGCTCAGGGAGCCATGGGTCCATGGGTACGAATCCCTTCTCCTCCTCTCTCTCTCTCTGACCCACCCCCGTCTCTTCTTCCTCCCTCTCTGACCCTCGTCTCCATGACCAGGGCGACGCCATGGAAGGGCCACCAACTACAACAGTGAGGAGAGGAGAAAGGGAGTAGCCTGACGGTCGTCTTCCACCTTCGCCTACGCCCTCGCCCTCCACCTCCACCTACGCCCCCGCCGGAAATAGTACAATGGCCAAGGAAATAGGCAGGATGCGCTGCTTCCCGGATGGACATGGACATGCTTCTCCAACTCTGCTTCTTCCTGGGTCGCCATGGAAGGTACTCCATTTATGCTCTGCTATGCTCCATGGTATGCTTGCTGCAACTTACTGATGCATAATTCAGTCAAGATAAAACTGTAGAAATCTCAAACTTTAGCATGGACTGAATAATGTTTGTGCATAATTCAGTAAAATTCAGTTAAGGATTTTGTTAGGATTGTTACTGGATCATCCATGGACTGAATAAGTCAGTCAAATTCAGCTAAGACAATTTAGTCAAATTCAGCTAAGATCATTCATGGAATTGTTCTTGCAATCAATCACGAGCTTCATTCATTCGTTCATTCAGAGGGATAATTGTTTACAACCTGTGCAAGTTGTCCATTTTTTTATTTGTTAGCATCACTCAGTCATCCACCATTACACTTTCCTTGTCCTACCTTTTTGTTGTGAATTCTGCAAGCTGTGCTTGCTTTAAATTGCAGTAGGAAGAACTTGCTTTAACAGAATTTGCTTGCAGCAGCAGTAGCTTGCAATTTTGCTTGCTCGCACTGCTTGTAGTGCAGTGCACTGCTTGAGTAGTTCCCCCTACAGACTCTGTAGCAAGTGAAGTAGTGTCCTCTCTCCCTCTCTTCTTTTTCAGTACAGTAGGAGCATTCTATTTTCTGCTTTAACTATAACTTTGACTGAAACATTTTTCTATTAATTAAAATAAATTCAAACTTTTTCCTTTAATTAACTTAAACCTTTTAATTTATTCCTCCAGTAGTAATTAACTGAAACCTTTTGTGTTAACTCAAATTAACTAAAACATTTTTTGTTAATAAAAATAAACTGAAGCCTTTTCCTTTAATTAACTTAAATCTTTTCAGTTAAGGAGTACTCCTCCAGTAGTATTGGTCATTCAGGAGTAGTTATATATGTCATTCAGAAGTACTATTAATTAGGGAGGAGTAAAATTAACTTGTGCTTGCAGTATAAGGCTAGCTAGATGAGTAGTATCGGTATACGGTTAGGATTAGGTTGTTTATTTAGTGAGATGAGGATTAAACCTTTCCTGATCCATCTGCCAATCCTGACCAAATTTTGAATTGTACACACCCACAATGCATTTCAACATAGCAAACCACAATGGCAGAATCATACAGATTTATGCAAGTTAACCTGACATAAAAGTCATACTCTACAATGGTGACACTCATACTGATGTACCATTTGTAAAGTCGAATGCAAAGCTTGGTCTGCATCTTTTTGCAAATAGCTTAAGGTTGATGTTTCTAATCCTGTACATGGTACTTTGGAATCACCTTCTGCATTGAACTTTGAGGCCTGAAATTGATGTTTAAGAATGTGTTAGAAATTAAGGATAGCTGCATGCTAAATCTTATAACAAAGGTACAGAAAAAAGCAGATCAACAGATTATGTTCCTTTTCTTCATATCGAAGTATCTGTCGCCTAGAAAAACTCATCCTTTAATAGTTGAGATAGTAGAGATATGAGGAGATCACTGATGGCTTCACTCAGCTTGGGTTCTTCATTAATTATCAGATACATAGTTCCTTATCCATGTATTTCTAACAAGAGATTCTATGCAACTGAAGTTTAAGTCATTATTTTTATTGCTATATGATATTAGATGTCTCATGTTTTTACCATATTAAAGAGCATATGAATTAGAAAGAAATACGAAACCTTAGTAATTTTGTTCTTCTTTACCAAGTCACTGTCCAAGCATCTTCCTCCTGCATATATTGGAAACTTCACGCTGTCTCTTGTTATTTCCAACTTAAACAGGTGCATCTTTGACCAAGTATAGGACGGGCAGATGTCGCGAAAGGAATATTCATGGTTTCTGAAGACTGACTATGCTCCCTCGAGTACTACGCAGCAACAAACTCAGGTCAGTGTGCATTAAGATCTACAATAGTATGTGGTTGTAATGCAGAATTGAAAACTTTACCTTGAGTTGCTATAATTTGATCCGGTGACTTCATGTGCTAAGGACTTCCTTGTAGACTATGTTCTTCATGGTCGTTAATAAGGGCTCAGATCTTTTTCGCCTATCTGAATTATTGATTTGTTCCTTGCCCTTGCCCTTACCCTTGCCCTTACCATTGCCGTTGTCCTTGATGGCGAGAATCTTAATGTTCCTCTTCGCAGTGGCTCTAGACAATGCGACGTAGAGCTGATCGTGAGAAAATATAGGGTCCAGTAGGTACACCGACAATCGGGATGGTCTGCCCTTGCGCCTTGTTGATTGTCATGGCAAAACTGAGCCTAATAGGGAACTGCTTCCTCTTGAACTTGAAAGGGAATATATCGTCATCGGATGGGCAGAGAGGTATCCGAGGAAGGAACACCCTCCTACCAGCATGTTGTCCTAGCACGATTTCTGCGTCGATGGCGTTCCTTCGGAAACCCCGGACCACAAGCCTTGTGCCGTTACACAACCCATTAGCTGGATCAATGTTTCTCAACAGTATAACGAGGCAATTTAACTTCAGTTTGAGCGCATGCGGAGGCAGCCCGTTGGGAGTCCGGTTGTTCAGGAACTCTGGGGCATAGTAGCCGTGTGGGTCATCCTCTGCAATATCAAAACTGTGGTAGATCTTCTCTTCGCCCTGGAAGCGCTCTATCATGCGTGTGTTTATCTTATCAACGTTGTCGTTCTTGGTGGAGAGGATCGCTCGAGATGTCATGTAATTTGGATCAGCCATGTTGTTGTCTAGAGCAGGAAATACATGGTAGATTAGCTTCTCTAGGTCAACACCGTCCTCTGTTGGCTGCACACAAATATCTTCGGGGAGCCTTATGTTGCCTTCCTCATCGGTTTCCTCGGTGCCGTTGCCTACCTTAGCAAGTAATCTGCGAACCACGGGTCGTTATGCGCTCTCATGTTGGTGACGAGCCTTAGTTGGCGCATGCCCTTACATAGGTACGAACTCCGCAAGGTCGCATCGATTATCTGACCTCGTGACCCCTTCCTGACGACCGGAAGCACCTGCCTAAAGTCCCCACCGAACACGACAGTCTTTCCCCCAAATGGCCGGTCCCGTCGTCCCATGATGTCCTGCATGCTATTGTCTAGTGCCTCAACGGCTTGCTGCTTGGTCATGGTGGCCTCGTCCCATAGGATGAGTGAAGCCATGTGCAGGAGCTTGGCTGTTCCACTTTGCTTGGTGAAGCTGCACGACCCCCCATCTTCAATGCTGAGTGGGATCTTGAACCTCGAGTGGGCTGTCCTTCCTCCGGGCATGATGGAAGCCGCAACGCCTGACGTCGCCGTAGCCACCGCGATCTTGCCCTCGCCTCGAACCTTTGTGAGTAGTGCCTTGTATAGGAAGGTCTTCCCGGTGCTTCCTGGTCCATCGACAAATAATACACCCCCATCACTAGCATCGACTGCTGCCAGTATCTCGTCGTATGCAAGCCTTTGCTCAGGGTTTAGCGAGGACGCTAAAGCAGCATCGTTCGCGTCAACCTCGATGGATGACTCCTCGGTGACTTCTCTGGCCTCGCCTCCAGTAGTGTCATATGTCTCGTCGATGTTCGGAAGAGGGAACAACGCTATGTCTTTGCCCATGGACTGTAGCATGCCCCTAATGTCAAGCAACACCATCTGCTCCACTGCCTTTGAGCACGAGTGTGATCGGCGGTAGTCATCAGACATCGCCTCTAGGTGCCTATCCCATAGACCGCGCACATCACCTGGCTCGCAGAATACCAAGATTGTTGCAAAGAGCCTCCTGAGTGAGGCTGGCATCGCGAACTGTGTTGACTCAATAAGACACTCGTCAAGCGTGTTGTCGGCCTCGATGAGGCCCAATCTCTCGGCAGCCTCACGGAAGCTATCACAGAGCACACCGTCCACGGACCGCAGGTCCTCGAAGGATGTCTTGCCTGGTACATGGTTGAGAAGAACTCACAGAAAGTACCACTCCCCCTCGGCTGGATGGGCTGACACGATTCGACCTACTTGGTGCGGCTTTTCTCTCGGCCTCCAGTACTTCCGTCTCTGCCATGTGAAACTTCCCGGAAAGTCCTTGTACAGGATATCACAAGCCCACATGTGCTGCTGATTAGCAAGGAAATACTCCATCAGCATTGATTTAGATGCATTATCACGGGCGACGACATCGGTCAGGTCCTCTCCTGCTTTGAACGTGACAGTATTCATATTAGGGAGATGAAGCGGCAACTGTAGGACTGACGGGAAACTCTCAGAAAGGTTGAAGCCAAATATCCTCCACATCGCCTCCGGTGAAGTAACCCATCTCGCATTAACGTACCTTTTAATCTCGTCTACAACCCCGTTGCTGTCAGGCTGGTCAATGTTGAATGAAGCTCGATCGTGACCCTTGTATACGTATTTGTAAAGGTACTTGACGGCCTTGATGCTGGAGCACACCTCGACATTTATGTGGCAGTTGAACATCCGCAACAGATAAGGGTTATAAGGCACGACCCATCTGTTATCCAGCATTTGACAACGGACCTTAGCCTGACGACCATCGTCCCGCTGTCGATAAACCGGGTATGAATCCTTCCCCTGTAAGGTGTTCTGGTTGAACGGCCGTGGGTACTTGCTCTTGCACTTCAAGTCTTGCATGCACACATTTTTGGGATTAAGATTGCCACATGGGCCGTGCATCATATGCTTCACGACCATGGCATAGAGCTCTGGATACTTAGGCCTATCCGGGAGCTCTGCAGATATGAGGCAATCATACTGCTCTGGCACCACAAGTTTATAATTTGAATTCATGATCAGCAGGAAGTGTGCATGGGGGAGGCCTCTCTTCTGGAACTAGACGACATACACACGCGCTACCACAACACCAAGGATGTGCTTTTTGAACAACATTTGTTTCATGGTCTCTAGCTTGGCCTTGAACATGCGTGCGACAAGATCTGGTCGGTCCTGGGGTGTCTGGCCAGGAAGTAGCTCATTCAGTATCTCCTCCCAGCTAGGATTGCATGTCATAGTCAAAAAGATGCCAGGCTTCCCATATGTCTGCACCAGTGCCATGGCGTCCATATGCCTCCGCTTCATGTCTCGGTTGCTTCCTTGATGCGTCCCTGGTAACACAATCCTCTTCCCAACAGCGCTCGCTCGCATCTCCCCAACCGCAATGCTATCCACAAGGCCTTGGTATAGATCGGCACGTATCTCTGTCTGGTGGTCCCTGATCCACTTCAGCCTACATCCCTCAATCTTGATGAACATGCCGACACCCCACTGTTGAAACAGGCGTGCTCCATGCAGTATGGGGTTGAATATCACAGGGCGCGTCTGTAGCCGGTAACAGTAGTAGTCCCTGACAGAGATACACAACCGGCTGTTCCCCTCTGTGGAAAGACGTGAAAGAAGAAGGTTAGGTACCATATGGAAGGATAGAGAACTTGTTGTGGCATATAAGCATACCAACCAGGCGCACCTGAATCGTTATCACGGTTTCTTCTTGGTTGTTGTGCAACCTCCCAAGGGACATTGTGCTTAGGGATATTTGGATGCCAACCAAGCTCCCCCCTTGGGAAAAAGAGGGGATACGAAAGCGGGTCATAACAGCCATCTGTGGCATGTATACTATACTTCTCGTTGTTGTCCCCATAGAGTGTAATGCTGCGGTTGAACCTGTTTGCTAGATCGCTTCCCTCGACCCAAATCGCAGCCACCTCGGATGACACGGGTCTGTTATATCTTCGTTGGTCTAGCTTCCGGTCAATGTTGAGGTCTATCCGATACTCCTCGAGATTTTCCTTGTGGGCACCCAAACTCCTAAACTGCTGGGAGTAGGGGTTTTCCCTGAGGACGTCCACTAACTTGCTGACAACATGCTGGTCCAATTGCTTGGTGGCCTCCTTGCGATGGTTTAAGCTGGGATCGTCGTCGTAGAAGTACAACTGCAAATGTTCAGGGCGAGATCTTGGACCGAACGAGTGCACCTTGTGGTACATAGTGCCATGTGCCCGAAACGTGTACACCCCGGACTTCATGTTTGTGTAGTTGTTGTCTAGGCTGACGCCAAGGGTAGTGAAGGCGAAGTGCCCGTTGAAGAACCGAATGCTCTCTCGGAAATATCAAGAGTCTGCATCCGCACTTGACCATAACCTCATCAGCTCTGGGATAGGCTCGGGTTCAGCTAGCTCAATCTCCCCGTTCCGACAGCAGAAGCCGTTAGTCTCGTACTAGAACTTCTTGGCCTTGCAATGGTCGCAGTTTGCCGCGTGCTTCAGGATGTGCGTGCTGTCTGGGATGTTCCAATAGACATAGTCGAAAGGATCTAGGTCGATAGATCCCGTGTTGGAGGATTCTACGGCTCATTGAGGTCCGTGCTATCAGTGTCGGATGCTGCAAGCATTGTGGAGATATAACAAGTCACGATGGGATACACGTCATAAACCAATAATATAGAGGGACGGGCAGCGAAAGACGCCTGGGAGTACCTTGACAGCCAAATAGGTAGTACTCATCATCCATGAGGTCACCAGAAAGTCCATTCTTGTCCATGATGCCGCTAAGGAAGGCGTCCATGTCAGCTGCAACATTGTTGAGCCGGTAAGTAATGGTTTAGTGTGAGTGGTCACCGGGAGGGGAGTAAAGGTGAGAGGGTTACCATCGGTCCCGACTGTGTAAGACGGCGTGCTCGACGAAGTGGAGGATGCCGGTGAAGCAGCTCCTGTGGGTGGTGTTTCTGAGCTTGTTGCTGCTCTGTTCACATGCAAGGTACTTGGGTGTGGAGACCTCCGCTTAGCTGCAAAGCTTGCATTACGACGATCTAGCAACGCTGACCTCTCACCTTCTACTATGCTTTTCTTGTGCACTCTTCGTTTTCCAGCACTCCCTTGAATGTTCTTTACCGCCATAGCTCGTTTGTGAGCTCGCTCGTGAGCCCTACGTTGTGCTCTGGTCTCCTGGCTCTGCTCATGGGCTTGATTCTGGTTTTCATGTATTCACTGATCATTGGTTTGCTGCGAGGCATTTATGAGTTCGTCAGGGGCCTCATTATCGTCCAGGGTACGACTAAGGTACTCGCCTGCACGGTTGAGGAGCTGGTAAATACTGGTCCAACGCACATGGACATAACAAGTAGAGTAAATATGGGAGGATTACCGTTTGATTCGAAGCTGTAACCAGCCTTACTTGCTAACTGGGGGGAAGGAGCTGAAGCGGCAGGGTCTCTAGCATGAGTAGTCGACATCAGGTTGGGCATAGCTAAGGTAGCTGCATCTGGGCGTGGCATTGCGATGGATTCAGCGCAAGGGATGTTGCGCCTAGCCGCGAGTATTGCATTGCGTTGAGCTAGCATCTTTTGTTTCTCCTTGGGTGGTATGTTCTGCACACGTGCTCTTCGGCGGGCGTTTGTCTCTTGCTTCTCCTCGTTTGTCATATTTTGGTATGCCACTCTTCTGCAGTAATTCCTCTCTTGATTCTCCTCGACCGGCATATTTTGGTAGGACGCGCTTCTGCAGCTGTTTCTCTCTTGCTTGTCCTCGACCATCATATTTTGGTAGGCCGCCCTTCTAAGGGTGTTACTTTGTTGCTTCTCCTCTGGTGTCATCCGTTGTGTGGCTTCTCTCTAACGGGCATTCCTCTCCTTGTCTGTTTTCTTCTTCCTAGCTGCTCTGCGGTGTGCATTGATTTTCTACTTCTCTTCAGGTGTTAGTCTATCCCACCGTGCTCTGTATTATTCTCGCCTTTTCTGTTTTTTGTCAGATGTAATGATTGCATTTGAAGCAATGTGTTCAGGACCAGTGTGTGAGGTGTTGAGTCCAACCGCTATATCTGAACCAATATTATGCTCAATGCTGCTTTGTGTTCCTTGAAGTGATACACGGTGATCATAGTAAGTGGCTTCAAGAGAGTGATTTCCTGAAAAACCGTTTTGTGGACCACTTAGGTTAACAAATGTATAAATGCAAGCTGAAAAAATTTCATGTGTAAGGTCGATACCGGTTGACGTTTGCACATGTTTTACTGGCTGAAAGGTTGTGAGATTGCCGACTATGGGAACCATCATAGCCACATGTGTGTGCACATTGTCATCATCATCGGAAGACGAAACACTGTAGTCAGTGGTGTCTGTTTGTTCTCGTATGAAGAAACCAGATGGTGGCCGGGGTGTATTGGTGGGTTGTGATCTTGGTGTCCTCTCATAATCAACAACTGATAAAATTAAGCTAGGCTAAGTTCTGAAAGCTTATTGAAGACCTTATGTTGAGACATGTGAGTGGCATACACATACCTCTTTTCCCTTTATCATATAGATGCCCTCTGTCTTGTGACATCTCTATGTCCTATAGCTTTATGTTGTTATTACCTGCATTCTTTTGCATTACAAAAATGATTAGATGGTTACTGTAATTATGATGATATTAGAAATACAGATTGGGGGAATAAGTGCTATTCTGAAACGTTCTGCAGTTGCTGTGATTTCTTTGCATTGGGTGTACTTGCTGGAAAGCAGTGTTGGTTTTGTAAAGGATCTATATGTTTTCATGCATGAATTTCACTTCAGTTCATAAGAAAACGGTGTTGTTCTAACTTTTACTTTTAACATATCAGGACAACTCAGCTGAGAACTTTAAAAGAGCAAACAAGGTTCTGGCTTCGGATTCTGAGCCGGTAATTTCTGATTTTTTTCGCTTGAATGTGTAAAGTTTTGTGTTTCTTTTCTTCGATCACATGTCTATTTATATTTAGGTTCACATATGGAATTTCTCTGGGCGAACAACCTTCATATTGATGAATGAATAGAACCGTATGCCCCAAGATCCTCGGTCTTCTGACCAGGAGGTCATATCTTCTCAATCAAATTTGCCATTCTATTGCCTATGCTTAATTTCTTGCATAAGATTGTTATAAATTAGTTGTACAGTTGTGTTGGTCATAGTCTTTTATCTCCTAGCTACTTCTTAAGGCTTTTCTACTGCATTACTACTAATTAGCCAAATTAATCCCCATTACTGTTATTTCCTCCTGCAACATCGTAATTTTATTTGAATGCAGAGCACTGGAATGCTATATTGCTGGTTTTTTGAGTAAATATTCACTGTCCTAATAAAAAAATTCTACTTTAGTGACTTGAATTTTCAAGTGCACATGGGTAGCAAGTAACTAATAGTTGGCTAGCCAATGCATGCCGTTCTTTCCTCCACCAAGGGTGAGGCATGCCAGTTGTTAATTTGTTTGTTAATTGTCAGCATCAACTGGTCTTCGTACTAATAGCACAAATTGAGCTTTTGGATGTACATCACTCTATTGCTGTCTGCATTTTTTCTGATAGTTCCACCTTTGTAGATGAAAACACCGAGTTTACAACTTATGCAACTACTGTTAGACTCCAGATCCTTGATGGTTTTGCCTTCCTCTGCAATATGGATTACCCTGGTATGGCAGGGAGAACACCCTGGTATGGCAATCTTTCTATCATATACTTTGATTTGAAAATTGCACTTATTGCCAGGCCAAAGCCTTTGATCTGTGTGATCCAAAATATGTCTCGTCAGCTTATACTGAACCTGTATATTTCTTTGGTAAAAAAAGAGGATGTCCTGCTTTTCTTTGGCCAGTACAATTCTATTACTCAAGTCCAGAGGATGATGTATCTGGACAGTGGGTGCGTAATACAGTGCTAAATCTGTTTGCTTTGCCTGATATAATAAACCTTATTTTCAGTCTTCAGATTATCCACTTGGTCTTGTATTTAGCTATATGGTTGTTGCAAGAGTCTTCCAAGAGTCTGGCCTTGCCGGCTTTAGGCACCACACAATTAGTTTCACTGTTTTGTTTGTACTTTTTACCACATGATGCAACTTCTATAGGGTTCAGATGCTTTCCTTCTCAGAGAAATCCACTTGCATTTTAGAAATCTGTATATTGTCCTGCCCAGAACTTGCATGACATTACAGTTTTGCTATTTTGATAATTTTTTTGCGGGGTTTGATCATTGTTTGTTAGCATCCACATAGAGCAATAGAGGTCTTCATACATAATATTACAAATTGAGCTTTTGGATATATCACTTTATTGCTACCTATCTGCATTTTTCCTGATAGTTTCAATAATTTTAGATGAACACCGAGTTCTACCTATCTGCAACTATAGTCAGACTCCAGATCCTTGATGGTTGCTTGTCTCCTCTGCTATATGGATTACCTTCTTAGAGAAGGGAGAACACACTGGTTTGGAAATCTTTTTGTCGTAAACTTCTATTTGAAAATTGCAGTTACTGTCACACCATGGTGAGGATGGTGGCAGGAGGATGGTGACAGGAGGATGTACCTGCGGCATGAGGAGATGGGTGCAGGAACAGCCGGCACGCGAAGGTGGCTGGTTCTGACGGCCCTGGTGAGCAACACCATGAGACGGGAGCAGAGGCTGCACCATGAGAAGGGAGAAGAGGTTGCTGGTTCCGGCAGCAGCAGAGGCTGCAGCTCACACACCTGTCGTGAGAACGACGTGGCCGGACTGGTTCCGTTCCGGCGGATGTGGCCGGAGGGCGAGTATGGGTCCAGCGAGAGGAAAACTGGCGTTCCTGGCGACGAACTGGCGTTCTTGGCGATGTGCGATCACGGCTCGATGGAGCTGTCGCACTTGTTTCTTTGTTTGGTTTGGCTCGGACGTGTCTTTTTTGGTTTGGCATGGACGTGGTTTGTTTTTTGGTCAATGCATGGAGTGGACGTCGTTCGTGGATTGAGTCGTAACTTTTTTTCTTCGGTCGTGCGTGATCGTGGGCTGAGTTGGTGGCGATGTATCTCGTTCATGGGCCATGTTAGCAACGGGATGCGATCGAGGGTGGGGCTGCGGTCGAACCATCACGACGACGACTGCATATCCCCCTTTAATAGTAGAGATTAGAAGTTTTGTGTAAAGTTTTGTGTTTCTTTTCTTCGATCACATGTCTATTTATATTTAGGTTCACATATGGAATTTCTCTGGGCGAACAACCTTCATATTGATGAATGAATGGAACCGTATGCCCCAAGATCCTCAGCCTTCTGACCAGGAGGTCATATCTTCTCAATCAAATTTGCCATTATATTGCCTATGCTTAATTTCTTGCATAAGATTGTTATAAATTAGTTGTACAGTTGTGTTGGTCATAGTCTTTTATCTCCTAGCTACTTCTTAAGGCTTTTCTACTGCATTACTACTAATTAGCCAAATTAATCCCCATTACTGTTATTTCCTCCTGCAACATCGTAATTTTATTTGAATGCGGAGCACTGGAATGCTATATTGCTGATTTTTTGAGTAAATATTCACTGTCCTAATGAAAAATTTCTACTTTAGTGACTTGAATTTTCAAGTGCACATGGGTAGCAAGTAACTAATAGTTGGCTAGCCAATGCATGCCGTTCTTTCCTCCACCAAGGGTGAGGCATGCCAGTTGTTAATTTGTTTGTTAATTGTCAGCATCAACTGGTCTTCGTACTAATAGCACAAATTGAGCTTTTGGATGTACATCACTCTGTTGCTAGCTATCTGCATTTTTTCTGATAGTTCCACCTTTGTAGATGAAAACACTGAGTTTACAACTTATGCAACTACTGTCAGACTCCAGATCCTTGATGGTTTTGCCTTCCTCTGCAATATGGATTACCCTGGTATGGAAGGGAGAACACCCTGGTATGGCAATCTTTCTATCATATACTTTGATTTGAAAATTGCACTTATTGCCAGGCCAAAGCCTTTGATCTGTGTGATCCAAAATATGTCTCGTCAGCTTATACTGAACCTGTATATTTCTTTGGTAAAAAAAGAGGATGTCCTGCCTTTCTTTGGCCAGTACAATTCTATTACTCAAGTACATAGGATGATGTATCTGGACAGTGGGTGCGTAATACAGTGCCAAATCTGTTTGCTTTGCCTGATATAATAAACCTTATTTTCAGTCTTCAGATTATCCACTTGGTCTTGTATTTAGCTATATGGTTGTTGCAAGAGTCTTCCAAGAGTCTGGCCTTGCCGGCTTAGGCACCACACAATTAGTTTCACTGTTTTGTTTGTACTTTTTACCACATGATGCAACTTCTATAGGGTTCAGATGCTTTCCTTCTCAGAGAAATCCACTTGCATTTTAGAAATCTGTATATTGTCCGGCCCAGAACTTGCATGACATTACAATTTTGCTATTTTGATCGTTTTTTTGCGGGGTTTGATCATTGTTTGTTAGCATCCACATAGAGCAATAGAGGTCTTCATACATAATATTACAAATTGAGCTTTTGTATATATCACTTTATTGCTACCTATCTGCATTTTTCCTGATAGTTTCAATAATTTTAGATGAACACCAAGTTCTACCTATCTGCAACTATAGTCAGACTCCATATCCTTGATGGTTGCTTGTCTCCTCTGCTATATGGATTACCTTCTTAGAGAAGGGAGAACACACTGGTTTGGAAATCTTTCTGTCATAAACTTCTATTTGAAAATTGCAGTTACTGTCACACCATGGTGAGGATGGTGGCAGGAGGATGGTGACAGGAGGATGTACCTGCGGCCTGAGGAGATGGGTGCAGGAACAGCCAGCGCGCGGAGGTGGCTGGTTCCGACGGCCCTGGTGAGCAACACCATGAGGCGGGAGCAGAGGCTGCACCATGAGAAGAGAGCAGAGGTTGCTGGTTCCGGTGGCAGCAGAGGCTGCAGCTCACACACCTGTCGTGAGAACGACGTGGCCGGACTGGTTCCGTTCCGGCGGATGTGGCCGGAGGGCGAGTATGGGTCCAGCGAGAGGAAAACTGGCGTTCCTGGCGACGAACTGGCATTCTTGGCGACGTGCGATCACGGCTCGATGGAGCTGTCACACTTGTTTCTTTGTTTGGTTTTGGCTCGGACGCATCTTTTTTTGGTTTGGCATGGACGTGGTTTGTTTTTTGGTTAATGCACAGAGTGAATGTCGTTCGTGGATTGAGTCGTAACTGTTTTTCTTCGGCCGTGCGTGATCGTGGGCTGAGTTGGTGGCGATGTATCTTGTTCATGGGCCGTGTTAGCAACGGGATGCGATCGAGGGTGGGGCTGCGGTCGAACCATCACGACGACGACTGCATATCCCCCTTTTATCTCCTAGCTACTTCTTAAGGCTTTTCTACTGCATTAGTACTAATTAGCCAAATTAATCCCCATTACTGTTATTTCCTCCTGCAACATCGTAATTTTATTTGAATGCGGAGCACTGGAATGCTATATTGCTGGTTTTTTGAGTAAATATTCACTGTCCTAATGAAAAATTTCTACTTTAGTGACTTGAATTTTCAAGTGCACATGGGTAGCAAGTAACTAATAGTTGGCTAGCCAATGCATGCCGTTCTTTCCTCCACCAAGGGTGAGGCATGCCAGTTGTTAATTTGTTTGTTAATTGTCAGCATCAACTGGTCTTCGTACTAATAGCACAAATTGAGCTTTTGGATGTACATCACTCTGTTGCTAGCTATCTGCATTTTTTCTGATAGTTCCACCTTTGTAGATGAAAACACTGAGTTTACAACTTATGCAACTACTGTCAGACTCCAGATCCTTGATGGTTTTGCCTTCCTCTGCAATATGGATTACCCTGGTATGGAAGGGAGAACACCCTGGTATGGCAATCTTTCTATCATATACTTTGATTTGAAAATTGCACTTATTGCCAGGCCAAAGCCTTTGATCTGTGTGATCCAAAATATGTCTCGTCAGCTTATACTGAACCTGTATATTTCTTTGGTAAAAAAAGAGGATGTCCTTCCTTTCTTTGGCCAGTACAATTCTATTACTCAAGTACATAGGATGATGTATCTGGACAGTGGGTGCGTAATACAGTGCCAAATCTGTTTGCTTTGCCTGATATAATAAACCTTATTTTCAGTCTTCAGATTATCCACTTGGTCTTGTATTTAGCTATATGGTTGTTGCAAGAGTCTTCCAAGAGTCTGGCCTTGCCGGCTTTCGGCACCACACAATTAGTTTCACTGTTTTGTTTGTACTTTTTACCACATGATGCAACTTCTATAGGGTTCAGATGCTTTCCTTCTCAGAGAAATCCACTTGCATTTTAGAAATCTGTATATTGTCCGGCCCAGAACTTGCATGACATTACAGTTTTGCTATTTTGATCGTTTTTTTGCGGGGTTTGATCATTGTTTGTTAGCATCCACATAGAGCAATAGAGGTCTTCATACATAATATTACAAATTGAGCTTTTGGATATATCACTTTATTGCTACCTATCTGCATTTTTCCTGATAGTTTCAATAATTTTAGATGAACACCAAGTTCTACCTATCTGCAACTATAGTCAGACTCCATATCCTTGATGGTTGCTTGTCTCCTCTGCTATATGGATTACCTTCTTAGAGAAGGGAGAACACACTGGTTTGGAAATCTTTCTGTCATAAACTTCTATTTGAAAATTGCAGTTACTGTCACACCATGGTGAGGATGGTGGCAGGAGGATGGTGACAGGAGGATGTACCTGTGGCCTGAGGAGATGGGTGCAGGAACAGCCAGCGCGCGGAGGTGGCTGGTTCCGACGGCCCTGGTGAGCAACACCATGAGGCGGGAGCAGAGGCTGCACCATGAGAAGAGAGCAGAGGTTGCTGGTTCCGGTGGCAGCAGAGGCTGCAGCTCACACACCTGTCGTGAGAACGACGTGGCCGGACTGGTTCCGTTCCGGCGGATGTGGCCGGAGGGCGAGTATGGGTCCAGCGAGAGGAAAACTGGCGTTCCTGGCGACGAACTGGCGTTCTTGGCGACGTGCGATCACGGCTCGATGGAGCTGTCACACTTGTTTCTTTGTTTGGTTTTGGCTCGGACGCGTCTTTTTTTGGTTTGGCATGGACGTGGTTTGTTTTTTGGTTAATGCACGGAGTGAATGTCGTTCGTGGATTGAGTCGTAACTGTTTTTCTTCGGCCGTGCGTGATCGTGGGCTGAGTTGGTGGCGATGTATCTTGTTCATGGGCCGTGTTAGCAACGGGATGCGATCGAGGGTGGGGCTGCGGTCGAACCATCACGACGACGACTGCATATCCCCCTTTAATAGTAGAGATTAGAAGGGGTTAGGTGAAAGAGACTAAAGTTGAACACATGCAAACTCACGTACAGGTCTCCACATGTCCGCACCAACTCGCACCTAACTATGTCCCATGTTAGCTTGATTGCATCGCTTGAGCCTGACTTGTGGAAACAGTTGATCTGAGCGTTCCTCTAAAGTCAGGCCCAACAGTGCTTTAAGGTTTGTGCGGGTCAAAAAATCAATGCAATGTAGGCAGGTAAACAGGCCAAAATTTCCCCTGCTCTGTGGCCATTCAGACCTCCATACCACGAAGTAAGATTTTCAGGTTTGGAACTTACTGGATCGCACACCCGGGGTTTGTGGATGTGGTGTCCCTAGCCTGGAATAAACCGATTAAATATAACAAGAAGTCTAATGCTGCATCCCGTCTGTGTCAAAAACTGAAGGCAGTCCGGCATGCTCTCAAACATTGGAGCCACCATATCTCTCGACTGAAGATTGCGATTGAGAATACCAACAAAGCTCTGGTTGAACTCGACAATATTGCTGATCGGCGATCCCTCACTTTCCCTGAAAGTAAGTTTAGAGATATACTCAAAAAACATTTGCTTCGCCTGCTACAATACCAAAAAGAACATTGGAAAAAACATTGCACCATCCGATGGATTCAATTTGGTATGAGAATTCAAAATTTTTTCAAGCTGTGGCCACTGAAAGATACAGAAAAAACTTCATAAAAACCTTGCAAGACCATAATGGAGTTGAAGTGGAGGACCACACAGTGAAAGAGGCGATCCTGTTTGACACATACAAAGACAGACTAGGGTCTTACAACCCACAACCGATGAAGTTCAACCTCTCACAAATGCTCCGACAAGAGGTTGATTTTCACAGCCTGATTACCCCATTTACACATGCAGAAATCGACGCGGTAGTCAAAGAAATGCCACCTGATAGGGCCCCAGGACCGGATGGATTTAACGGGGCTTTCATTAAAGCCTGCTGGCCTATTATCAAAAAATGACATTTATCAACTGTGTGAAGAGTTCCATGAGGGAAATTTAAATCTGGAGAATATCACCTATGGACATATCACTTTAATACCTAAGAATAATGCTCCTATGACAGTCAATGATTTTCGCCCGATCACACTCCTGAACTGTTGCCTCAAGCTTATAACCAAGATCCTTGCCAATCGACTTCAGAAAATTATTTTAAAGATTGTTCATCGCAACCAATACGGTTTCCTCCATGGTCGATCCATTCACGACCGCCTTGCCTGGGCCTTCGAGTATATTCATCAGTGCCAAACGTCCAAACGGGAGATTATACTACTGAAACTAGATTTCGCGAAGGCCTTTGGTACGATCCAACACCCTGCGATGCTGCAAATTATGAAACACATGGGCTTTCCAACTCAATGGCTAAACTGGATGGAGCATATCTTCTCATCGGGCAAATCCTCGGTGCTTCTCAACAGGGTGCCAGGTCGACAATTTCTCTGTAAATGTGGAGTACGTCAGGGTGATCCACTGTCAACACTGCTATTTGTGTTAGCCGCAGACCTGCTCCAAACCGCTCTAAATGAGGCACTTCAAAACCAGATCATCCAACATCCAATCCCGCCAAAAGGAAATGATCAGTACCCAGTGATTCAGTATGCTGACGGCACGATAATTGTCCTTCCTGCCTGCATCAATCATGCCACCAAGATCAAACAGATTCTTGAGGATTATGCCACTTCTGTGGGACTCAAAATCAATTTTCATAAGTCAACTTTGGTGCCCATAAACACCCCTCAGGACAAATGTGATGAGATGGCAGCGATCTTTGGCTGTGTTCAAGCAACCATGCCTTTCACTTACCTTGGGTTGCCCTTAGGTACCACTCGACCTTCGGTTTTGGACCTGACACCGTTTGTCTGCAAGGCAGAGAGAAAAGTTACTGCGGCTATGTCGCTCATGTCCTATGCAGGTAGATTGGCACCCCTAAACTCCCTCATCACATCGCTGGCTATCTACCCCATGGGCACATTAAGACTCCCTCCGAAAATCATTGAACAATTGGACAAAATCAGAAGATACTGCCTCTGGAATAAGAAAACGGATAATGGAGAGAAATGCAACTCATTGGCTGCCTGGTCTATGGTTTGCCGCCCAAAAAAGTGCGGTGGACTAGGGGTCATGGACCTTCATGTTCAAAATGACGCTCTGCTACTCAAATTCCTGCACAAGTTCTACAATCAGCAAGACACTCCTTGGGTTAGCCTCATCTGGAATACATATTACACAGAATCTGTACCCCATGCAACAGAACCCTGCGGATCCTTTTGGTGGCGAGACCTCATCCGATTAATGCCAATTTATAGAGGAGTAACCCAAGTCAATGTGCACAATGGCAGCTCAGCCCTTTTCTGGAAAGATGACTGGAATCATTCTATCTATGAGGAAAAATACCCAAGAGCATTTTC